AAAATAATAACTAAATATCTTTAATAAAAAAAGAAAATATATTCATAAAAATATTAATTTATTTCATAAAAATATATTTTATAAATATATATATTTATTTATAAATATATATATTTATATTTTACAAATATATATATTTATTTTATAAATATATAATATATTATAAATATTAATTTATAAATAATAATTTATTTCATAAAAATATATTTTATAAAAAAAAAAAATAGAGACGATATAAGGAATACAACTTCAGTTTTTTTCCAATTTCAAAGTGATAAAATATTAATTAAGAAGGCTATAGTAAAATAGTTCCTCGTAAAAGTGCAATTAAGTGTACATATTTGCAATAGTTATTGACATAAGCGTATTTATGGGGATTCAAGTTAACGCTATTACAGGATTCTAGCGAATCTGGTTTTTCCTGTGCAAAATGGACAGAATGTGATGCGACCTTGATAATAAAAATTAATCCATTCAATTTCCACTTGATCAGTGGAAAAAATAAAAGATGAAGTTCAACGAAATATATACATACGCATATTATTTTACAACATAATTCACTGGAAATTTATAAATCGTGGCTTTTTAAATTCCATTTGTTTAGTTATACTAGCAAGAAGTGTAAACTATATCAATTTTTGTGATCTAATTGTAATGAAAACTAAATTATACCCACGATTGTGAATAGAAATGGAAATGAAATGACTGAACTAAATAGTAATGGAGCATTTCCATCGTCGATTGAAGAGTTTTTAAACACAAATAAAAACATTAAGTCTTTTATACCGAGAAGTTCTTATCTTATGGATTTTGACCTCTGACATATTTATATGCAATTACATTATGTTTGTATCATTAAATGAGAAGCTTGGTTTGATATTTTTTCAAGATAATTTTCTTATCAAGAAAGAACTTACAAATCAATGTAATTCGTCTTGCAACACATACTGGAAAGCATAGAAAATATTTCGCATTTTCAACGATAAAAATGTGAAATAAACATATCTTTCGTTCGTGAGAAATCGGTTACATTTAATTTGGTTATTATTTTATTATTTTCTTCTAATTATTATAATTATTATTTAAGCTTTCAAGTTTAAAAAACGCATCGAATATTAAATAAAATAAAATTTTACACGTAATGGTGTATGATGTCAGGACGAAACCGCAACAATGCTCACTGATATGAATCAGAAGCCAAATGTATTGCCGATCTTGCAACATTCTGCAATTTATACGTCATCTATTCTTTTATCTTGAATTTCAGGATATTTTTTTGTATATTTTGTATAAATATTTTAATAAATTTTAATAAATATTTTATAAATATATTGTAAATGATCTTTCTAATTCAAGATAAATTGGAAATAAATTGGAAAATTTGTGCAAAACACATTTGTTCAAATTGCATTAAATCCTCTTAAACTCATTGTCAGCTAAACAAATACCTTAATGCTCTTAACTCTTATAATAACTCTCAGTATAAAGATAATTTTAAAAACCTAGAGGAAACAATATAGAGACAAGATAATTTACAATACAGACAATACTTTACAATAAGAACAATACAGAGTATATATTTTAGAAGCAAACCAGATAATATTAATCTCTATTAAAGAATAGAGTACTATAGGAAATGATGAATCATACGAAATTATCTTACGTTTGAATAAAAGATTTTAAAATAAAAAGAAAGCGTCTGATACCTGCTGCGAAATCCTTATTTATTAAATCGTCGATTTCATCTGTTCCTTTTTTTGAGGTCAGGATGCTTTCGATAAATAAATTCATTTGTGATACATTTCTTCGCATACGTGTCAAGAAAAATTTCACGAGTATCCAGTTCATCGTCGAAAGGAGAAATTAGCACTGGTAAAGAAAGTGCCGACCATGATGTCAAGTAAAATTTCCCTGACACAAATTTTGTATCTTCAAAGATGCGTATACACACACATCCGGGGAACTTGTACGCAGAGTCGTGGCGATTTCCCATCGACGTAATATTCAATCGGTTCTGTAGTGGGGAGATCCCCGTGTCTGCGGATTTATATACAAGAGGGACCATCGCCTTGAATAGATTAGTGTCGAGCAGTGAAATCGAACAGTTAGTTCTCAGAGAACAAAGAAACGTCATACAAATAAGCCGTGTAACATATTGTGCTTAAAACAGCATCATGGTGAGTAACATTAACTCGACAAAATTCCAATTATATTTCATTATTTTTAAATTCGCCAATGTTCCCTTTTCCTTTGTTAAATAAACACTTGCTCCTTCCTGCAAATAGAAATATTAATTTTTAAATTCTATATTGTTATTGTTACAAATAAAATATTGTTACAGATAAAATACTAATTTTTAAATTTATATTGTTACAGATAAAATACGTGACAATTTTACTCGCCATCTTTATTTTGGTCCAATCGCAGAGGCCGCCTTATGCAGGAAGTAGCAAACCATATCCTGCTGTCCTTCCGCAGTATTTAGAAGCAGCAACAGCTGGTGCTGGTGCTGGTGCTGGTGCTGCCGCTAATAATAATATTAACGGGACGATTGGAAATCGAATTGATTCGAACAATGGCAATAGGCCATTGATGGCAGCTCCTAGTATTCCGATGGCGATACCAACGATTCCTCCAGATTTGCCAGTGGACGCTTTGGGTGACGTTGACTTAGTAAATAGAATCAAAACTTGGCCAAAGGATAAACAACCGTTTTGGTTCCTCAACTGGCAACAAATTCAAGAACACCGAGGTGACTCGAAAAACAGAGCGCAACCAGTAGAGACACAACCGAATCAGCGATCGTTTTTCGCAGGCTAAACATTTGCTTCATATTCCATTCGAGACGACACATGCATACACTGCCGTCGTTGTTTTGCTAGTCAAGTTGTATTTTTGTAAGAATTTTTTTCACAAGACTTAATCGACCGATGATACACTTTGTTTACTTTATCGACACAGGATTTTATGTCCGGTGAATTTGCGATGTTGTAAAGTACAAAAATGTATGAACCACGGTTCAGCCACAACGTTCGTGTACCTTACGCGTAAACGAGAAAGAGGGACAGCGTTTTGTAAAACTGTTTTTACACGGCGCGCCTTTTTTTTTGGAGTAAATAAAAGGATATTAATTAAAACGAGCGTAAAATCAAGTGTACTTGAAAACTTTAAATTTCCAATCCACCTGCTGAGCAAACCAAAATCGCCAATGAGATGCCGCGACGAGTCGAGACGAGACAGAAATCCGAGGATCCGATTGGCTCCCACGACTTGCGCACGAGTGGTTGACCAGAGGTCGGTGACGTCACGCCAGTTCGTCCAATGCAAGCGCACTCAGTAATAACCCTATGTGCGTGCGGTAGGCTGAAGCGTGTTATTCGTATTCGGGCGTACAAACGAGAAGTTGTGGTAGAGTATATCGGTCCATGAAAGATGTTACCCGACAGGGACATGCCAGTCAAAATTTCCAAAGTTCGATAGATACCGCTTTCATTTTCGTATACGTATAAAGAACGCGTATATCCTGCGTGCAAATGTATCCGAGGTACTGTCGTTTTAAGAAAAAGGCAGATTGTACGCGACTCGCCGTACCTGACAGTCCACGCGGCCCGGCCCCAAAACACTTTCGTCTCACTATATACACGAGAAATCGCATCGTGTTTCATTCACAACGCGAGCGCCACTGGCAATGTCGGGAAGTGACAGCCCAACATTCTTTCACGGCCAGCCCTGGTCCAGCTGGATCGAAAGAATCGGACGAGACAAGCCGTTGAGTAAGTGCGCTGAATCCTCATCGAAAACGTTCGCTCGTTCGTTGCCGCTGGTTCAGA